AGATTCAAACTAACAAGCTGTGGTTTGGCTATTAGTTTTCCTTTACTGGATTCCATTTTCCTCTGCTGAAATTGGAGAATATTTCTGACATTCTAGACCTAGCTCTCTTCTGCTGTCCTTGAAATGTAGTGGCACCTTCTACATTTTGAATCCAGAAGGAAAAAAAAAAACCAAAAAACTCAGTCTGCTGCACCATATTCAAAATGACGACAAATCTTGAAATGGACCTCACGCACCTGTGTGCATACATACATTTTATAAGTGTGTGTATATATATATATATATATATATATATATATATATATATATATATATATACTGAGGGGGGGAGGGGAGAGGGGCATGATTTTCAAAAACAATACCACCACACTGTGTACTGTATTCTAAATATTTTCTTTCTGAATAGTTAGCAGAGTTCTCACGCCATCTGAGATACTCCAAATACTACAGAAATAAAAGACAAAGCTGCCTCCTCTATCTACAAATCTTACTTACAGCATTCCCTACACAAGCTGCTGTTTATTTTCAGTTTGTGGCACACACTCTAGTGCGCTTTGACAAAGCTAATCCTGCTTCATCATCTCCAAGACCCTGGAGATTTCCATTTGCTCAATGATTAATTACTGGCCTCTTGCTCTTTCCACTTAAAACAAAACAAAACAAAACAAAACAAAACAAAACCCAAAAGTCCCCAAAACCCAACCAAAAAAGCCCCAAATAGCTAGTACAGCAAGTTCTTCCCTGAGAAGCAGAAACAATTAAACCTAATTTGCTTTGAGTTAATGTGCTACATCACCTTATCCCACCGCAATGCTATTTTGGGTCTATGGCAGACCTGTGGTTAAGGTCTGTGGTTCAGTCCCACCAATCAATAAGCTGGGAGAAGTGTGAGAACCAGCCTGTTCATCTCCCTCATCTTTCCAACATCTATTTCCACAGAGGAAAAGTTACAACAGGGCTTAAGACCTGTAGAATAAGAGACCTGAATGCTTTGCAATGGACTTGAAATGTGCTGGCACATGCAGAAGTTGTTTGGGTACCAGGTGGATCACACAAGTGTATAAAGCCTCATTTCCTTCAGACAGCATGGAAAACAATAGCAGATGTGGCAAAAATGATCACAAAGAGCTGCACTGAAAATCGCCTTTTTCTCCATACCTTTGTCTCCAACTACTGAAGCTTTGTAAGTCAGATACATAGGAATCAAAAATGTTTACAAAATAAAGACAACTACTGACAGTATCAGTTAGACACTAAATCAGCACTTAAAAGATCAGTACACAAACTGAATTAGCAGAATAAATTTTTGCATATAGGCAGCATGTGCCTACTTGTCTAGTAGTGTTTTATTAACCTTAAAAATAGGAGCTTAAGTGTCTGCACTCTAAAAATGAGAATTTTTAAATATCAGCACGGCAACTTGGGAACATTTCTCATAATCATTTCGTAAGCCAATGCCTAAAATATGTATTAATACAGTTTTGTGACAAATCACCTGTTAGATTTCAGCTGACAGCTTGCCATACGTTAATCATAAATAACTAAAATATGGCTATAGTAATGTATTACAGAAAAAAAGGGAGAGACTATAGAGCAACCTTTCTGATACATCTCGCCTACTCCCCCTCGCATTCCTGATTTTGCTGTGTACTGACCCAATGGCCACTGGTTCCAGTTGTTAATGGAATATCCTACTGTGTTAAAGAGCTTTGTGGGATGCTATTTATCAGGAATGCAAGCAACAATACAAGGCAGAACAGATGAAAGGAAAATAACACTCCTCACTATGAACAGAGTACTATTTAATATATTAAATTCACGAGCCTGAGACATGAAGGCCTATGGTTGGCCTTTTGAAGAGCTATGGTAGAAGATACTCAAGAGTATGGTCACAGGTAAGTATTCAGATGAACAGCAGGCAACTAATTTTGCTTTCTCCTTTGCTACAATTTTTGAGATTTAAACTTGCCCTCATAGCTTGCATTTCACATAAGGCTGGTGTGCAGCCTCCATGAGAGGACTGAAAACAGCTGCATGAGCAGAAAGAATGAGAATTAAACAGTTAATCTGGAATGACATAAGAAAGATGCATAGTTTTTTGAAAACCTCAGAGGGAATACATGACACTTATTTCCAAATTAAGAAAATCTTCCTTTCACCTCAAAACCCCCACCAAAAAACCAAAAAAACTCAAGAATACTTCTATCTTCCAACTCTGGTTTAAGTACTATCTTAGAGATCATTAAGTGTTTTACACGAAACATTTCAAAGTTTAAAGAGTGTGTAGATGTATTTTTATTTCAGTGCTGTACTAACCATAGAGTAATGTACTGCTGCAATATTGGCAGAAATAGAACACCAGTATAGAATGCTGTGTTCAATTTTTTTTAAGTTTGGGGGAAAAAAATAATGTACCTTAATGAGTAGTTTGTAACCCATGATTTAAGCCTCTTGTTATGTTATTTGCTCTTAGAAGGAAAGGAATGTTAAAGGAGTATTAACAAACTACATATATAGGTTAATGTATGTGTATGTGTACACTACTATCTTAAATACAAAATTTATGCTACTGGTAACAGAAGCTGATATGCAATACATTAGCAGAAATATACAGTGTTTTAATGGTTCTTCATTAATTTAGGGTAATTTCTTATCTGTTTTTTTTTAGCATCACTATAAAACATAATCTTTTAAATAATGAGATCTGGTTTAAATATTTCTATAGAAAGAAATATGTTTATTCCTAATGTGATGCATTCATTTCTGACTGACTGAACTACAGGAAGAGCTACATAACCTGCTCATGACTTAAAAAAAAAAAAAAAAAAAGCAAAGCTAAACCTCAAACCTCACATCCATGTTGTGATACCATGTTAAAAATATAAAATACATCAGTTGATTGCTCAACTCTTCAATGTCATGCAAGGATCATAGCAGGAAGGGCACTAAAACAGCTAAGTTACTTATAAGAACTTCTAGGACATAACATTAAAATCTAAAATATCTATTTAGTGTTGCCATTTCAAAGCAAAATTCAGCCTTGAAGCCATTTCAGTCCAGGGGGCAAAGGTGATGATTTAAGTCTTGCTTTCTTTACCAACATTTATTGCAATAAAGACCACTTTGCTACTGCATTTTGCCCAGCTTTTGATTTGTGTTGTACTTTGAAGACACTGTTGCTTGTTGAAAAGCTAGTCTTTTATGGAATACTTAGTTCTTTTAGACAAGATAAAAAGTAATCATCTGTGCCACATTTCATATATTTACCTCTTCATACAAAGTAATTATTGTACAAGGTTACTTGGTGTTTTGAAAGATACTGTTTGGAAAGCATTAGTGTTCTTTTAAGTGTGAGATTATTTGGGTGACCATTTTTCATGGTGTAACTGGCAGCATCAAAAGAAGACAGCAATTTATAGGACTTGTGGAGAACAAAGTTTATTTTCACTTTTGTCAGCCTTCATGCTGGCAGCACTAGCTTCCAGAGGATGATAGAAAACACCCAAATCATTCTCCTCTGCAGAAAAGGAGCAATGACCCGCAATGAGCGCAGCAGGTGCCAACAAGCCTGACTCCAAGATCAGGCGCTGCGCAGCTGATGGGGCTGCGGCCAGTCAGTGTGGAACCCAGGAGGAGAGGCACCACTGCGGCCAGTCAGTGTGGAACCCAGGAGGAGAGGCACCACTGCGGCC